ATAAAATTCATTACTCAATATTAAAAAAACCCTATCTTAGAATTAGTATTTACCCTCTTGGGTTTTTTCCTCGAGTTCATCAGGATGAACTGTGAATATGGACTTTCCACTTCAATTAATTTACAGAACATTAGGCCCCTGGTATTTACACTGGGTGCAGTGGTGTGGTGTCTGAGTTATAGTCAATAGTTATACCAAGTGCTATTCAATTATTCTTTTCATTGGATATTATGCCAAATTTCTTTGAGGGCGAAATATAAGATTCAGTGACCAAAAAAAAATCATTTATTTATGAGGGACATGGTTGAGAGCCCACGAGTAGTGAGGAAATCAAATTCTTTTCATCTGCTTGCAAGCCCACTTCAGCAACTCAGCAGAGTACAATGCAGAAAGAAAAGAGGATGGGAAGAGGACTATTTCAGTTTGACTTTGACGGCTTTGTGAGATACTGAGCCCTTTAAACTTCAGGCCAAATAAAATTTCAAGGTACCTGGCACCTTGCAACATCATGCCCTTTATTTGCCAGGATGTAAGGCCTGATACCACAGTGCTGAAGAAAATAAGGAGGTTTCCAGATGGCTCTAAAGGAAGCTGGATGTGATACTTAAGTGTCTCACAGTCATGCTTTATCTGGACTTTGGTCCTTAAGAGTCATTTTTGTATATGAATCACAGATTTGGTTTCTGCTGATGGGTATCTACTCGGCAACTTTCAGATGGTGCATCTATAGAATAGGGCTGATCTTAAGACCTATAGCATGAGCAGAAAATTCCTTAGTTATGGTGAGACTCGCTTCATCTTTCAAAATTAAATTGGGCAACATTTGTGTGAACATTTGGTCTCTCCTCGTTGTAGCTACTAACCATGGTGATCTGCACTGGAAGATTAGGGCCTTGTTTTATAAAATTGCAACTTTGAGGTAATGCTTTATATTGGTGAAATCAGATAAAGGGTCACTGGCCTACCCGCTTTGTAGAAACGGAAGGTTTCTTAGAATCAGATCCAACAAGGAATTAAGGTTACAGCTGAAAGCTGAGCTGTTTGCCAGGGAATGAGACAAGCCTTGATCTTTTTGCTTCAGTAATCATTTAATGGGCAAAAGAAACGTCGTTTCTTTTCCTGTCAGGTAATTTACATCCAGGATTCAAAAGAGGGAGTAGTGACTGGGTGACCTTGTCTTGCATAAAACAGAGCTTCAAACAGAGCTAAACTGTTTCTAGTGAGCCTGGCTGGTCTTTTGACAATACTCCTGTATTGCTTTGGGATACCCAGAGTCCCCAGGCACAGATTTATTCTGCAGTCTAATTGGAAATGCCTAGGAAAGGTGACAATATGTGAGATTTATAACTAATTGCAATGATTAAAGTGTTAATTCTGTAATACCTCACTAACATATACCAATTCCATGTTTCTATCTAGTAAGCAAGATAAATCTGTGAACAAGGACTTTAGTGCGCATCAGGCTTGTTCACTAAACGTCACACATAGAGAGTTTTCCATTATGTGAAGAAAATTACTTATTAGAATAATGGTTTTGAAAGTTGCATACAGGGCAGGCATCCTTCAGATTAATGTATTTGTTTCAGGCAAATTAAAATAGGGCTTCATATTATGAAATCAGGGCTAGGTGCACTAATGGTGACAATCTGTTTATGCAATCCATACAGGCCCTTAACTTTGGACACCAACAAGAGATGCGCGTGGCAGTTGTGGACGAATGTTTGTACACAGCCTGTACACATCTAATATTTCTGCTCACCTAATTCACACGTGGGTATGTTTGAAAATAAACCCATATATTATTTTCCTTCTTTCAGTAGAATTATAGTGACTTTCATACATATTTCTCAAATGCCACCGTAGCCCAAATGCACTGGCAGACAGATCAGTATTCAAACCATCAACAAAGAAGACTGATGTCGGTCATAAGTCCCTATTATCTGAAAGATTTGATGTGGACTTGAGTTGGGATACAGCTTTGATCAATGCTACTGAGCTGTATCATTACCTGATGGCTCATCTATACATGATAGAATGGAGATCAAATTATGCTGAAAAGTACTTATAAATGTGGGTGCTAATTGTGATGCTACACTGATAAACAAAGCATCAGCTCTGGGTGACACGTTATTAGATGTAATTAAGTACAGCGCTGAGTCCAGCTGTAACAGTGCAGCTGTGATCGTCAGAGCTTTGAACCGCACATACTGCACAGTGCTAGGAATGAGGTTAGCTGTATAATACACCTCCTAATGCTCCTAATGTTACCTCCCACCCCAGCAAATTTACTTGATTAATGAGCTACTGACACTTTATTAGATTATTGTGCATCACCACTGTGCAAGCACCCTCTAAAATTTCGTATCCTGATTTCTAGGCTTATCGTTTTCTTACAAGTCAGTACTTTTGAGAGCAGGTTGTGCCGTATTACGGCTGGCTGACTCATAAAATCCCATGGCACATGAAGATCTGAGCTTATACTTCTTGAATATTTTTCACACTGTAATGAAATAAAAGTCTTTGAAATAAGCAAGAGACACATGCACACGCTCTAGGATGGCCAGAAGTGGGGTATGGAGCGGCCATGGAGTTGTGGGAGAGCCCAATCCTTGTACCTGCTCTGCCTTACAGGGAGCAGAATCCCAAACTCCAGGAGAGCATCCTTATTCCCACAATATATCGCCGAGTACCGTAGCTCAGATTATAATGCAGGTTTCACTTCTTCCCTGTCTTCTCCAGACTGGACAGCAGTGCCCCTCAAGAGGCTATTGCATGTTGCTGCCTAGGATACAGGTAGCCTGCCTAGATACAGGTATAGCACAAGGATGTTGAACTCCTTCCTCTACTCTTTAAATAAACAAAAAATGAGCCTGTGAATGTCCTAGTCCTAAAATTGCTTTATTTTCTTTTTAGTTTGAAACTAAGTATCAAATATAACTGTTACGACATGAATGAATGTGGATTATCTTTGTCTAACTCTCTACATAGCAACTCCATTAACTGCCGTCTTTTTTTTTTATCAGATTGTGCTTCTAAGGCTAAATGTCGGATGCCTGGAAGCATTTCTGTTTTCAGTGAGAACCTCTGTTAACATGACACAATCCCTTTAAAATGCAGACATGCACTCAGCAAATTTGATAAGCCTTGAGATGAATTTAGATGCACAAAGATGGTGAAGCAGTCTAATCCCTCTTACAGAAGATGTTTAAACAAATTTTTTTCATTCGATGAAACACCTGGGCAAGCTTATTTAATATAGTCTTTGCATTTAATTATCTCCACTGAAGGGGCACTCGCCATGTTTCAAAATATGATTATTTTCTTTTGTATTAATTATTTTAAGATCCTCAAAGGAAACCTGGAGAGAAATTAAAAAAAAAAAAAAAAAAGGGCTCTTAATTAACCTGAGCCACCAGAAGTCATCTTTTGGAATAGGGAAGCTGGGATATGGGACTGAAAATAAACAGTACTTTAAAAGTCAGACACTCTACATGAATAATGAAGAATAGCTGTTAAAACCTGAAAAGAATTCTGTATGAATGAATTGTTGCTAGGCATTAATATCAGAAAGGCACACTTGCACATTAAACTGTCTTATGGAGAAAAGACAAAAATAGAAAAAATAATTCCGTGAAGAACTCAATATGGTCAAAATTATTGGCAGAAGTCAAGGAAGTGTAAAATTATGATATACCCAGAGAACAACACAGCCCAGAGTCAGCGTCTCAGTTTTTTTCTTCTCTCCTTTTGCTCTTGTGGGGTTGGCATAAAGAAAGCTATTCCTTTTGGGAAGAATTTATTCCCCCATATATTTCTGGCAAGCAATTTTACCACGAGTGCTCTCACTGCACAATCCAATTACCCTCGTACTTGCAAGAGGGAATACGAAAACAGGAGACCCTGTTCTCCGCACCGTAACTGGAACTGCAATATGAACGGGGCTTGGCTGTTTTTATTCTAGACAGCAAATTAACAGACTATGGCAACTTCTGCATGAGTAATTAGATCGCTGCTTTTTTTGCAGCATCAGTACTACATGGAAAGATACTTGCAACATGGGTTTGCACACAATGAATGTGATTGTATGTATGTATCATCTAAAAGTTGTTTCGGATGCCTATGCAAAAGCAAGAGGGGAACTGTGCCCATTTTAGGCAATTATTTAGTATTGCACTCCTAGGCTTCTCTTGTTTAATCATTTAACATGTTACTTTGCTCCTTGAAAGGCTAAATACAGTCTTGCAAAGATCACATCACATGTGCCTTAACCTTTGCAAGAAGCCAGACAGCACCTCATGCTATCAGTAACAGACTTGCCTTATGTTCTACTCCCTCTAGGAACTGTATGTTCCACACTCTGTCAGTGTGAAAAGGGATCAAAGACAGTTTTCCAACAGAAGTACTTTTGCCTTTTATTCTATCAAGCAATTACACAAACTTTAATTTCCAGTCAAAGTGAATTCAGTTACCAGATCATACTACTGCTTCATCTAGGCAACAAAGTAAGCTGGTTTATGCCACTCGCAAAACTAACTCAAAGCCACCTCTCACTGTTGAAGACAGACTTGGTTTTTCCTTAGTTTTTCAAAAGCCATGAGGTTGATTTCACTTTTCTGTAGACGCTTTGTATAGGTACTTATACCATCCTTTTATCAAACTCATCTGAAAAAAATCCCTTGGGCTCAGTCTTGGCATTGAAAGTGTGTGCCTTCTCTGGGAAACATTTAAAATGATAGGTAGTGCTTGTGAAAGATGGGGAAAAATGTTTTCTGATCATCTATGTTTGTGTTCTTGCAACTGAAGATATTTTCACAATTTAACTGAAATATATTGCTATTTTATTTGTCACAGAATTGTATTCAAGCTATTCCCAGAGATGGCACGCTGGATGAGGCAGCAGCATGAAACCCATATTCCTCCTGTTTTCCCATCTGCAAAGTGGCAGTGAGTTCAGTACGTCAGTCCTCTCTCTCAAATCACCCTTTGAATATTGTGTCGCGATGTTCACATCGTACGGTGACTTTAAAGATGAAAGTGAGCAGAAATCAGAGAGTCTGTAAGGTTGCAAAGAGGGAGGGAGGTCAGTTACCTGGCAAGGGCCGTGCCATCCTGGAAACGGGTGGAAGGGCCAACAGGCAGCATGGCCCACTGCTAGGCTTGGTGCTAAGGCGGACTCCTTGACCTACGTGCAGTTAGCCCTGACACATGACTACCTAGTGGCTCGTCCTCTGCCTGCGGCAGACTCTGGGCCGGGCTGCGGCCTGCAGACCCCCCGGGCCCGCTTTGTTTCAGCCGCTGCGGCCGCGGGTGTCCCTGGCCCTGCCCGCGCACGGGTAACCCGCTGGCTGTCACAGACACCCGGGTGGGGGTTCCACCCGCCGGGACACGGAGTGGGGGGCG